CCCACCCATGGGGGAAGATGAAGTCAAAGTTTAAGGGCTAATGATAAATATCATAAAGCCTGCCATTTGAAAAAAAAATTAGCACGACGCAATTACATGGTACTAGCTCAAAGAATTGTATCCATCGGGTAAATTAAATGTAAAGTGATCGATATGACTAATAGTAACACAGGATCTAATGCGACTGGGATAAGCAAAAAATTTAAAAGACAGTATTTCTCATTTGTTAAATAGATAACCGCTATCTAATATATCGGACTATGAAAAACTTATCCATCAAAAAACAGTAAGAAAGATAATTGGGTAACTACCATGATTAGTAAAATTCCAAGTTCTCCAACCATCAGTATTTGCTCATAATATTATTAGTATATGAACCACTTACCCGATATCGAACCAAAGTTGTCTAGCTTCCTCATCAGCAGACAATTTAAGGTCGCGGCTTCCATTGAAGAAAGTGACATAAAGAGCAGATTTGGGAATTCGAAGTACTTCAGTTAGGAAATGCCACATTTGTCTACATGCGACTTCCTAAGAAAACAACTGTGAGAACTTTATTACCAAAAAAACTTTACAAAGGGAAATAAGGTAGGTGAAAAACTTACTCTTCCATATGAACCGAACGACCAATTTCCAAGCATTTCGAACATAGTGTGATGATAAGTATCATATCCAACATTGTTTAAATCGTCATGGCGACCACCAATACGAATACAGGGTTGTGAGTTAGCGGCTCTGGTGAGGTTGGCAAATTCTCCTTCCGATTTTTGACACTGATCAGTGTCTCGCAAGAATAGTGACTTAAACTGATTCATACCTACAACTCTAACTGAGAAGAGGGCGACACATACCTGCATTAATAAAATAGGTTCCTTCTGTATGTCGGGGATAAACGGATGATGGTGCCACTAGGGTATGTTTACGCTCTTGAAAGTAGGCTAGAAATTCTGCTCGGATATTCTCTGAGGAGCTGATTGAAAAATTCATCTTAGGATCTACGGGCACTCGACGTCTAAATGGATAGGGATGATCGACCCCGCATTCTCCCATGAAATCTGGCCTTCCATAATGGGTTTGGCTGATGTAATTACGGACAAAGTGTCGGATTGTGGACGGTTTCATGCTAACAGTTCTTAAAGGACGAACTACAAACAGGAATATGAATGAAATGACCTGAGATCAGCTCAAATTCAAGTCAAGAAAATGCGACCAGAATTCTATTTAAGATATTAATCACAGTTTAATGAAGCAATATAAGAAACTAAGGTATGAAACAACATTTATGCTTCGCGCCAATTAGACTCCGCATGCCTTTATATATCAAATGATTTTCCATAGTACTCCTGCAGTCGAACTATTTCTCCTTGAAAATACGATTAGATTTACGAATCTGCTCTAAATTAAATAAAAAATAGAAAGCCTAAAACCCACAATGGAAAACAAGAGTCAAATGAATTACTTGTCTAGAGCATGTGAATAGAGTAAAATACAGTTAAAGAAACATAATTATGCAAAAACGATTCTAAATTTTAGTTTTCATCATTTCACAAATGAACAAACGCGATAAAGGAAGATGCGTTTGATGCGTTGAATAATTCACCTTGTAGCTGAGACTGCATATGAAAATCTACATGCATATCTGCACTTTGATAAAAGTTAAAATTTTCGCCAAATTATGGAAATATTACACCTTTGTTTCAGACAAAACATGTTGATTTGAGTAAGTTTGGACGTATTAGCGCAGTAGACAAGTAATAGGTGTTTGGAAAAAGAAATTCAAAAAGTGTAAATATTAAATCACTGCTGCCCACATGGGTTTGATCCTAATTTCAGAAATTAATAATTTATAATGCATTTATAAACTGATATTTTGGATCGAAATATATGTCGCGGAATGTTAACATCAATCAGTAAATAGTTACCAGAAGCAATAACTTTTCTGGAATATTTTCTTCAAGGGTTCGAGCGTGTGTGTTCAACCATAGCTAGTAACACATCGATATTCATCATGCTGAGACATTTTCGATGGAATATTTAGTGAAGAAAAATCGGTTTACTATGTAAAATGAACATTTCGGTAAGATACTATGGCTACAACAACCTACGCAACATGAGTGGCTTGATTTATTCCTAGCTTATAACCCTGGTTAGTGCTCTTGTCGAAGTTATTTAAAATTTCTTCATTTTATTAACGTTAGTGAAGTCCAAATTTCACCAAAATCGTTCTCATTACCCCGACAACTGTTAATTTGAACCCATAGTTAGCAAACGGTACGTAATAATTCATATATTCGTGATTAAATTTTAGAAGTTTTAAGCGAACGAAGTTTAGACCCTGTCCATTGATGTCCATTAGGAAAATAATTCATAAAACTTTTGGTTAATTGAATTTTTCGAATCCAAACTTGCCTACAAAGTTGGATGCAAAGAGAGGAGAGCCACAAAAATATAATCCGTTATCCATTAAAATAGCAAACAACCAAAATAATATAATGGTAAAGAAAAGTTTATTTGCGTGACAAATTATCTTTTTACTCAGAATTCTGCTTTAAGGCTAGTAAAAAATTGTACCTATAAATGAATGTTAGTATGGTAAACAATAGCAACTTGTCCGTTGTGGAATGTCCTCGCTCGATTTTCTTAAGAAAATAACAGTAAGAAATTCATAATATTGTTTATTTTCATACTGCTTTATTTCATTTAACTTATTTTTTATGAAAATAATGCCTTTTTCTAATATCATTTATGCTTATATCCTTTCAAATAATTAGCGCGTCCTTCAAATTTAGCTGAATAGGCTTTGCGCTTTGGTGCTTTGTGAAGGCCTGGTATTTTTTTAATTATTGTATAGCTTATTTTCTTGGTGTCAGAAGGGTTTAGTTTAATTTTAAATTATATTTGCATTCCTGTATCTACACATTTCTTTACTTATTTTTTTCTGGATTGTAGAACAAAATGGCTGTTGAACAAGCTAATTCTGAGGTGCAAGAAAGAGAAAAGGCTCTTGCAGAATATCGCAGAAAATTAATCGAACACAGAGATATTGATGCTAGTTTAAAAAACGGTGCGCTTGGTTCTTAACGTTATCATTTTATGCTTTTATTAATTGCTCATTTATATTTAGCTCGCGAAAAATCTAAGGCTGTAGATAAAGAGTATGAAAAAGCTGAAAATGATTTAAAAGCTCTACAAAGTGTTGGCCAGGTCGTTGGAGATGTTCTCAAGCAACTTACCGAGGATCACTGTAAGATTACTTCTCCCCCCCCCCCTCTATTTTATTTTGCTCTCAGTTCTGTGTCTAATCGACATTTTTATTATTAGTTATTGTTAAAGCTAGTAACGGACCTCGTTATGTCGTCGGATGTCGACGCAACTTGGCCAAGAATAAATTGAAGGCAGGTACTCGAGTCGCCCTTGACATGACCACTTTGACAATTATGCGACATTTGCCTCGTGAGGTTGATCCACTTGTCTACAACATGTCTGTTGAGGATCCAGGTTCAGTCTCTTATGCTTCTGTCGGCGGTCTTTCTGAGCAGATTAGAGAACTTCGTGAAGTTATTGAGTTACCACTGTTAAATCCAGAACTTTTCCAACGCGTTGGTATCACCCCTCCCAAGGGTTGCTTGCTTTACGGACCCCCCGGTACCGGCAAGACCCTTCTAGCTCGTGCTGTTGCCTCGCAGCTGGACGCCAATTTCCTAAAAGTCGTGTCAAGTGGTATTGTTGACAAGTATATTGGCGAATCTGCACGCCTTATACGTGAAATGTTCAGTTATGCTCGTGATCATCAGCCTTGTATTATATTTATGGACGAGATTGATGCTATTGGTGGTCGTCGTTTCACAGAGGGTACAAGTGCAGATCGCGAAATTCAACGTACTCTTATGGAACTGCTTAATCAGATGGATGGTTTTGATGCCCTTGGGCAGGTAGGTCGATCATCCTTGTGTGCCCATTCTACCGGAAATCTGTCGTTCATTTAATTGTACTTGTTCCGATTTCTAGGTCAAAATGATTATGGCTACAAATCGTCCGGATACTCTTGATCCTGCTCTTTTACGTCCAGGGCGTCTCGACAGAAAGATAGGTTCGTTCATTTCTTTTAATGGTTTAATCAATTATTTTGATGTGCCAGTGATATCTTGACTTATATTTCAGAGATACCTCTTCCTAATGAGCAGGCCCGAATGGATGTTCTAAAAATTCACGCTGCACCGATTGCTAAGCACGGAGAAATCGGTAAACTCTTCTCTTTTTCATTATCTGATTAGTATTGTCCTTTTTCTTTCAATGGTTTGGTGCACTGTTCTTTAGATTGGGAGGCTATTGTCAAGCTTTCTGACGGGTTTAATGGGGCTGATTTGAGAAACGTGTGTACTGAGGCTGGTGAGTAGTATTTCTTTATGTGAATTTTCTTCCTGCATCTTCGCTTTCCTGAGTAACTATCCTTTTTCAGGTATGTATGCCATTCGAGCTGAGCGTGACTATACGATCGAAGAGGACTTTATGAAGGCTGTTCGAAAGCTGGCTGATGCTAAGAAGCTGGAGACTAAATTGGATTATAAACCTGTGTAATTTTTCACATTATTGTTCTGTATTTCACTGTTTGAACTCATTCACTAATACATAAAAATTCTATATATATGACGGTTTTATTTGCGTAGTAAAATATCACTTTCGTTTTCCCTCTTTCTAGTTCTTTTATAGATATCTAAATCGCAGCCGATATTTCCACTACCTTATAATCATCTGAAAACTAATTTTGTTCGTGACCGAATGTAATTGCATGTTATCATGGTATAGTTTTAATGTTGCACATTCCTTCAACTCTAGTGTGCCTAGGTGTACCTTGACCAATTTAGGTCCATTTATGGAGGACTGTTGACGCCACATTTTTGGTGTTCTTGGTCATTTTTAATTTAGCCTCAAAATATGTCATTGAGAAAACCAAACTCGGGTAAAACAAGAATTATTCTCATCTTATTTCACCCTCTTTCTGGACTCTAATTTGTTTACTATTGTGAATGATTAAAACAACCATTGACATCAGATTCTATTTCTCTTCTTTTGGTAATATATAAGCTTTCGCGGGAACAAACTATACCATTTTGCATAGTTTACGAGAAGCTTTGCTAAATATCTCAGAGATTCACACTCGCTACTCTTATTAATTGGCTAAACTGTCAACAAGCCATGGACCAGTTATCAGGCACTGTCCTACTCTATCGCAATGCCTATGAGATGGATTATCTTCCGAACTCTAAGATATTCGAATCTGTCTCATGCTGTTTACGTTAAAGAAATGTTCATGGAAAGATGTATTTTGGAGGAAGCAATTTAATATTGGCGGTTTTAAAAATGTCTGTTACGATAGGAACATTTACTCCATCAATGAGAATTAAGCCATGTCAACAAAAACGTTGGTGACATGAAGTATTTCCATTATGTCGCATTCAAGTCCTTTTTTAACCATTTGAATGTTCAGACACCCGAATGCGCACACGAAGAAATTTTCCTCAAAATAATTGCTATTCGCTCTAACCTCATTAGAAGCTATTTGTATTTTGGAGAAAATCAGGGTTGCTTCCTCTGAAGGCGTGTATCCCCTATTTGGTTGGTAATACCTTCATCCAAAAATTATCAGCTGTAACTCTTAATAGAACTATTGACCTTGGAATGGTGCTTGATGGCTAGATCTCAGTATTGGCTCCATCAAGTGGACCTGTGTAGTACATTAAGCTGATTTTTAATTCGCTGTCTCTCTTCTAATACACAGAGTAAATTGTGCTGAAATTGTAAAACGAATGCATTACATCAAAATGTTGTTTTAAATCTGATGGAAAAAGGTTTGATTCACTTAAATTAGAGACAAAGTAAAATAAATCAGAAATTAGCCGACAAAGAGGTATCTTTATCCCTACGTTTATAGGTCTAAATTACACATTTTAAGGATAAAGAAAGGATGTTTGAGAGATAATTGAGAAGCTTCCAGTAAAATAAACTTTGAGGATCTTGATTCAAGGTGGATTAAGGAAACGCTATTTACCGATCAAATCGAAATAATACAACATCCGAGCCGATGCCAATAAAACAGAAGAATAAGCGAACTAACTTGTGGTACTGTGCGTTTACTAACAAACACTGACTAGATACGGTGCATAGGAGCTGATAAATTAAATTTGACTAAAGAAGTAAGAATATTTTTTGTTGTTGTCGAAATGAAATTGAATCTAAAATAGCAAAGAAGAAAGCACTTCTTAAATCATCATCGAAAGCTGCGGAGCAGGAGGACGCCTCCTGGAATTCGAAAGAAATCAACTAATCTTCTAGAAGTTAGTGAATGGAAAAGTCTTGTAAGGATTCATGATGCCTTTAGGATCCCAAGCGTTCTTGAGTGCGACTTGAAGTTCACGTCCTGGAAAATGTTCTCCCTTCGATGCTCCGGTTTCATCGATTTCCAATCGATGTACCCAACGCATCCATCGACCGTCGCATTCTCGTGATAGTGAGAGAAAGCCTCCACTTGATGCTGTTCTATTTGATCGCAGCCATCGACACAGCACAGACTGTAGCCGCTTTATACATTCCGGTATGGGATATCCTTGAGTATCGGTACTGTGCTTCTGTTCCCTAAGATAGCATAAATATTGCGAGGCTATTTAATAGTATTTGATTTTAAACGCTCGTTTCGGTCAACTACGGTGTCACAAGTAGCGTACTGACGAAATATTTACGAAAATCAATGCTTTACTTGTACCTTTCGATCAGTGGATAGCAATACGATTCTGAAATAAGTAATATGTCTACCATTGACAGCCAATGGCCGTGGATACACCAATACCACGGCGATATCCAACTCGGCACCAAATGACTACGATTTTCCAGAGATTCGCTTTAAGATGACTAATTTTAAAAAAATTTAATACTAGTATTATAAGGTCATAATTCAAACGCACTTTTATTGACTTAAAATTCGTTACTAAACGTTCATTTTCAAGAAGACATCGTTAAAAATTTTGACATAAATGTATACTTGAGAAGTAAACAATAAATTGGACACAATCTACTCGGCGCACTTGACTGTCAACGAAAGTGGAAACTTTACAAAGGAAGGCAATTCGAAAATTCAGATGCATAAACGAAACTGCAACATTGGTCTTGTTCTAATTACCGTGTAGCGATCCGCTAAATATCGAGCTCATTTTTATTTTGGCACAAGATTCTTTCTATGTGCTAATACATTTTTCGGGTCAGTAAAAACCCTCCCGGGCTGAACCAGTTCCATACATCGATGTTCATTGTTAAGACTATCTCTCTCTCTCTCATCTATACGCAATCCTTTTCCGTAGCACCCTCTGACCTTGCTCTCTGTTCTCAATAAAGTCCTCTAACCACCGATCTTTTCTCTCTTTCTTGCTCCCGTAGAAGGATCGGATGAAGATAGAAGATACTCCTAGAAGAATAGATAGGGGACTAGAACCTATACAGAACTTCCGAAACTGGCATACTACTTCAATATGTTAGTAAAAGTTTTTGCCCGAACATTTTTAATTATTATGTTAAAATATGGGTTTATGCAATATTAATGGTGACTGAAATTATTATTTTCAAAGAATACCGCTGATAAATATCGGAAATTTGCTTTGCATGGTAACACTTACATCTCCCAAGAATGATGATCAATCGTAGCCACAACATGTAGGTTTCCTAGAGAGAACAAAGAGAATTTCAATTGGCTTTTTCCTTGAAAGTTACTCTAAATATAATAAAAACATTCAATTGAAATACTCATAGATACCTGTTGGCAATTGCCCGAAAACGATGAGATCTTTTATTCTTGCCAAATTCCCAGACCCATCGGGTGCCCGTTGGATTGATGCATTAACTGACGTGATAATTCGGTCTTCTACAGAAACTGTTTCAAAAAGATGAACAAGTTCTGGCATATGACGAGCGGGGACCTTCAAGTCAAACTTGAATACGAGTCCAGAAGATTTGCAAGCGTCGATCACAACCTTCCTTGCTCGCCACAGCTTCTATGACAAATGTGTAATCCATGCAAGTTATTAATAATAAGCGTTATTAATAGGTAGCTGCACAGAAAATGCGTTTGATTTCGATTTAGGCCAAAGAGGATTTCATGAGTTAATGGGAAATATGACTAAAATAATAAATAAAATCCTTCTCAGGATCTCATATTAGCATAGGCACCGTGGTATGACAATAACACGAATATGGGCATAGCGAGACTCAAAGCTTCAGTGTTCAATCACTAAAAATGGCTATACCAATGGAAGTCAGCGACTTCCAGACCGAAAATAACTGGGGCCAATGTACTCATGAGCAGAGCTAATGGTGGTTCATAACCCTGACCAACAAAAGAGAGTGGGAAAAATAATCAGCAATAGTTGTAGGATGGATTGATGACAATCGTCTCAACTTCAACGGTAGAATTCATCAAATAATTATATAGCAACATGCTGCTCATTGTGCTCGAGTAGTGATCGTCCACAATTAACACATTCTAAATGCTCCCAATCCAATCACTACAAAACCGAACAGAAAATAAGTGAACCATATCGGCTAATAAGAAAAAAGAAATCGTATCGAGAGTCACGGAAGTTAAATTTATTGCGCATTTTATTGAGGTAGCCAGTTGTGACTGAAAACTCAATTATGATGCTCTGTCCAATGTGGACATGCATAGATGCCACAAATGACCATATTACTAATTGCTTGTGAGCATTAGCTGAAAATGCACGCAAGCTACATTATCGTTGTAATTTCTGAGAGTCAATAGAACTCACAAAATGCATTTTCGAGATATTTTTGAAGATATTTTGCATTAAACAACCATCGAAACACTTGAGCTTGAAGAAAGGATAGTACGCGAATCATTACTTCTCTAATGAAATGATGCTAGACATCAAGAGCAATAATCTTAATTCGACCCAATGTCTTAACTGCTGGGCTAATTTTGTTCTGCTTATTCTACCTTCATATTCCACCAAGTTTCTTGTCAATTTGGGGCCCATATCTCATTTTACTCAGCGAAATTAGTTGTTCTCCACGTTTTTACTTAGAGGGAGGGGGGGAGG